GTCTCTCACTGTCTCTACATGTCTCACACTGTCTCACACTGTCTCACACTGTCTCTACATGTCTTTACATGTCTCACGCTGTCTCTACATGTCTCACGCTGTCTCTACATGTCTCACACTGTCTCTACATGTCTCACACTGTCTCTACATGTCTCACACTGTCTCACACTGTCTCACACTGTCTCTACATGTCTTTACATGTCTCACGCTGTCTCTACATGTCTCTACATGTCTATACATGTCTTACACTGTCTCTACATGTCTTTACATGTCTCACGCTGTCTCTACATGTCTCTACATGTCTATACATGTCTCACACTGTCTCTACATGTCTCACACTGTCTCTAAATGTCTCTACATGTCTCATACGGTCTCTGCTTGCAGTCTGCGTTCTACCATCTCTCGGGAGTGCTGCCTGTAGATCAGGCTCTTAATCTGCTGAAGTCAGCGATAGAGAAGCAGTACCATCACAAAGGACCCAAGGTCATCGAGAAGAACTTCCAAGCCGTCGACGCTGTACGTATTACATATCAGACGCTGTACGTATAACATACCAGACGCTGTACGTATTACCTACCAGACGCTGTACGTATTACGTACCAGACGCTGTACGTATAACGTACCAGACGCTGTACGTATTACGTACCAGACGCTGTACGTATTACATACCAGACGCTGTACGTATAACATACCAGACGCTGTACGTATTACGTACCAGACGCTGTACGTATTACGTACCAGACGCTGTACGTAGTACGTACCAGACGCTGTACGTATAACGTACCAGACGCTGTACGTATTACATACCAGACGCTGTACGTATTACGTACCAGACGCTGTACGTATTACGTACCAGACGCTGTACGTATAACGCGTGAGATGCATGTATGTATCACGCATTACGAGACCCAGTACGTATCCCATGCACAGGTTTCTTCTACTATAAAGCATTCGCATCCCTAGAACATGCGTATTTGTATGTGTCTATAGATATATATATATATATGTCACTATAACTTGTGCTCTAGCGCTCGTGCGCGCGATGACGTCATCGTAACTCGTGCACTCGTGCGTCGCGTGCGATGACATCATCATAACTCGCGCTCTTGTTCGTGCGTCTGCTCCTGCAGGCGATTCACAGTCTGAAACGCATCGAGTACCCGGTCGAGAGCTGGAAGAACGTCCAGTCCGGCGGCTCGAAGAAATCCAAGGAGGACATGGCCGGAGTTAACCCCTTCATCACAGACATCATGGAACCGGTAAGAGAGAGGGCGGGGTGGTGGGTGGGGGAGG